TCCCGAGGGCATTTCAATGTATCTCATGCTGCGCAGGAAGAGATGACGGTCGAGTGGCGGCACACGGCACAGGGGGTGCCACTAATGAAATTAAATTCATGGTTTTGTGAATATGTGTCCGTTATTAAAAGTGTGCGGATAGGAAACCTTTGAATAATCGACTCTGCAGCAAAGTGGTCTGTGACTCTGAGGGAATAGATATGGTGATTTAAATGTCTGTCAACAAAAATCAGGGAGTCTGATCTTGATTTGGGTTGAATGCAAGTTGAACTGAAGCTGTGAATTAGGTGCAAAAAAATGCATGGCGCACTGTGCAGAAATACATACATGTAGAGTGTTGTATAATCTGCTTGACGCAGGAATACTGGAAGGAATATTTCACAGTACACAGTGCAGGAATACTTAAGGGTGAAGTAACATTACATATTAATTGTAGGAATCCTGCATGTTGTGGGAAGTATGTCAGAATACTGCTCAATATGGAAATACTGCAGAATATGGAAACGCCATACAGTGTAGGAATAATGCAGAGTATGGGAATGCTGTACAATAAGGTGTATGCATGTACCACATGGAAAAGTTTGCCTGTGTTCCCTTTCATTGCGACTGCTGAGTGGCCTCTCCCTTCCCAGTACCAGGCATTCAATCCACCTTTGGCCCCTAGAGTCTATGATGTTCACACAAAAATGTGATCTTTCTCTCTGATGTCATGGTAACATATTAGTGCATAGGAAGTTCAACAACTTCCTTGAGCACCTCTCAGGGACTTATTTCCAACAGAAACAGCACCTTTCTTGACAATTTCAACACCTTCCCAATCAAACTTCTTCCCCCTACCCCACACTGGCTCCATTCAAGACAGTGTCATCACATCAAAGAAGATCACTGATTCACACATGATACCACCATTCCACGCTTTCTTGCACCAGTTATGTATCCTACCAGTACATTTTGTCATAGCTATGCTGAGATGAGCAACCATGAATGAAAGTGATTACTGCTGATGTAACCACATTGCCAGTTTGCTTTCATCGATGTAGCAAAGATAGAGAGCTATATGGTGAACCTGATATTGTCATGCAATTACACTGGGCTTAAGTCCGCCTATCCACATCCGGCAGACAACCTGACAGCTGTTATGTAGCAGCTAGTAATGTTAGATGGGCATAGCCTAGGGTTATTCAGCCTCTGTGCGGGCATGTGTAGGCTGCCTTCAGCCTCCGCAATTATTAATAACATTGCTTTAATGATGAACAGTGTCATCATACCTGGGTTTGCACTCTCTCTTCAGTTTCACTCGTCATGACAAAACAGAAATGCCTTTATATGGAATGGTAATCATTGACGGTATACTTTGAAAAAATTATTTCAATATGTGTTCAAGACTCACTGACATTTTTCAGCTGTTAAAAATTGCATAACCAAGTATTCCTTGAAAGTGCAGTTCCTTTCTGTTTCTATTTTTGTGTTCAATGCCACTGAGCAAAGCTGGATAAGTTTCCAGTTAATAAGGAAACTTACCACATGCCAAAGAAACTTGGGATACTGAGCTTTTTCTAGTTTTGAAAGGATAACGTAAATAGTGAACATTATGTTCTCAGAGACTGCCATTGCAATAATCACAAGTTCACTGCAGAAAAATATGAAAAAAAGGCCGAAAAAAAATTCCCCCACTTGGCAAAATAGGGTGAGTGGATCTGTAATTTGAAATATGAAAAATGGATAGCCTGAAAATGAAACCACATCTTGATAATTTTTGCGGAAAATAGAAGTCACAATACTTCCATCGTTGTTAAGCTCCATCCTGATATACAGTCATCACTGTACCGATAGGTGTCACCAGGATTTTTGAAGGAGGGGGGTCAAAGGAATAATAAGCAACAAACTGATGAACCATTAACACTGGAAGGGGGTCTGTTTTGAGGGGTGTTTTATTTATGCGAGATTGTCGTACCCTTCTATTTTTCATTTCTCTTGAATTTCTTTTTTCAATTTTTTGTGAGGGGGAGGGCAAGCACTCCCTTGCCACCCCTTGATCCCCTCGTGACACTCATGGTCATCACCTGACTCTGTTCTTTTATGTTTTATTTCAAGATGTGTGAGCATACATGGACCACTACTTTGATTTATAAAGCTGCTGCCTTTCTTTAAATTGAACATTGTACGTGTAAAGAATAAATGCAAGGTTCATTGAGAGAATAAATGACTGGTTCATTCATGTTGGTCGTTGTCATACCACAGGATTAATTGCCATACATTATGATGTTGATTTATGATGAACTGGGAAATTTCAATACGTAAAAGCAAGTCTGTCATGGCTTTTATTATGGTTGTTACGAGTAGGTTTGTATTGGTGCATTGTAGTACTGGAAATATCCCATTCGGCATTGTTGTCAAGTGAAGATCAGTGTGAATGCATGAGTCTCGCAGTATAACTTGATGGGATTGTTTGAAGTCACTATTTTGATACATTGAATCTTAAACTCAGAAGATTCTCATGGATAGTTTTTGTGATCCACAGTTGTTAGGCTTCCAAAGTAGAAATGGCATTTGCATGGAGAAATACAAGGTTGTCAGCCAAGTTGCATTGTTCTTTTGATGACTGGGTAACGGGGTAACAACGGGGTAAAATATTTTTGTAGCATGTGCAGAAATGCTGCACCTGGGAGTAGATAACAGCAGTGCTCAGTGTTAGGCACATGGACTAGTTACTACAGGTAGAAACATGGCATTAAACTGGACTATAGAGCTTCAAGAGTAAATGGATCTCATTACATTGCATTGCATTGTATTGCACTGCATTACATTGCTGTGCACGCGTAAAATATTTGCATGTGCATATGTATGAATATGTACAGATGAATCCAGACATGTGCATTCAGCAATCTCTTTTGGAAAAATGCAAGCATTGGGTTAGTTACAATATAGAAAAATATTCTTGAATGTCAATTTAGTTCAAATCTGGCTCAGCATTCTGCCATAGTACTTACTCTAAATTTCTTGACAATTCAGTGATCTTATACATGTGTGTACTTGACAAACAGATTGTGTCAGGTGTCATTTTCGGGCTTTTTATGTCAAGTTCACTAGTTGCAATCAGGCAAACTGCTAATAGAAATTTTTTGTACAATGCATTCTGGGAGGTAGAAGTTTGACTCAGTCTACTTCAAGGTTACCATATGTACAGTCTGCTAGTCAATTACGTGTCTGACATCTGCCTGCACATTTTAATGTTCAAGAACACATATCCCCAAGCCATTTCCCATCAGTCATGGCAGGGGTTGGGTATGAAGCTCTCGGCTGGTTTCTCTACTTGTGGCTAGTCTTTCTAAGAAACACCAGACTACACTGCAGCTCAAATTAGGAGTAATGGTTGAGTGGTTCATGCAGTCATTGCATTATGGAGGAGTCTTGCTAGTGACGGCCTGTCTGTGTCCACTGATACTCAGCTACCAGTATCTGTTGAAGAGGCAGGTGCAGATGGTAACATCTCAGACGGAATTATATTAAGAATCATTTAAATTACATCAGACTGCCCCCCCCCCGATCTGGGGATGGAGAGCAGGTGTTTGGTTCCTTAATCATAATAGGTGGTAGGGGGGGTCAGGGACGTGGGGGCTGTGTTGCATCATACAGATGGTTAGACTGGTTCTGGATCAAATTCAAATCAACAGGAAAAAAGATTTTGTAGTGATTTGTTTTGTTGAAGACCCAGCTCGTTATAGCAGTGATTTGTATATGTATGCAGCATTTCAAAGAAACATGTTGATTTGTACAGAGCGTATAAAAAAAAGCAACAAAATTTCTTTTGAATTTTGTGGAGACTGTATTATTAGTTTTACACCAAAATGACTAGTAGCCCAAGTTAAAACCACAGATCCCCTCTTTCCAGTGAATGTTCCAGGCCAATGTTGTTTATTTGCATATGGTCATGGATGGCTAAACAATCATTCGCTTTGGACACTAGGACAAATTAGACTTGGGACTAAGTTTTAGACACTGCAATCATCAGAGCATCTTATGCTATTGGAAGTGAACTTAATAATGACAACTTACCATTGTGTTTCGTAGCATTTCTCTCTGTAAACATTGTAACCATTAAGATATTATGTCATGCTTTACCCCGACTGCATTATGAACACATTTGGCCTATTCATTACAAACATTTCACAGGAGAGAAGGAGAATTGGATAGAATTCATGCTGATGTTTCTAACTGAAACTTGGTCTCAAGCCCACTTTGTCCCATGGTTCAAAAAGAATGGTTGTTCAGCCATCCATGACAGTGTGTGAATAAGTAGCATATCACTAGTCATTTTGGTGTAAAGCTAACACAATCTCAACAAAATTCAAATTAAATTTTGTTGTGTTTTTTTATACGTTCCTTATAGTCCTTGTTTTTTCCAATCAACTTTGGCTCCGTCTCAGGCTTCAACTGTTTTTTTACTAGCCGACTTTGAAGCTGTAAGCACAGTAATCAGTCTAATAGTGCCACAGAACATCAAATAAGATGCAAGAAAGCCAAAAATTATCGTAATCCAATGTAATTTAAACACTTCAGGCCCACAATCGGGAATTGGTTTTGGGAACGAAGCCTCAGACGGAGACGGAGTTGAGTATTGGAAAACGGCCTTAGTTTGCTGAAGTGACAAACAAGTGCCTTGATTATAATTTGGTATTTAGCAATTAAAAGATACCAGAAACATTATTAACCCTCAGAGGGAAGGAGAGATCCCCTTATATTTTCTGCCATATTACATTTTTCCCCTTGCCAAGGATTTCCATTACCTAGCTCAGTATTATTTGTACTTAATGCAGAGAATTAATTTACCTTCTTACTTGGATAAAGGAGAAACCTATTCTTCCAGTTGTTTACTGTCTTCACTGTCTGTCTGCATCTCACCATACTCCCACATACACTGTACCAAACACTGAGATTTGTTGTTCTCCAAAGACCCCAATGAGGATTGTCATAATCATTGCCATTTCTGTTTTGATTAGGTGCTTTCCCTGGGGCCTGATGTGCTTCCTGAGTATAAACTACAGTCCCCACGCATTCACAAATGGACAATCCTTCACTATTCACCCTTCAAGGCCGTGTGGGATTGGATCATTCTCCTCTTGGTCATCTACACAGCTATCGTGACACCTTACAATGCGGCCTTCCTGCTGGAGCGGCCAGGTATGCTTTTTATAGGGGCTACTTCCATTTCGCTATTAAAGTTAACCTTTCCAAATAAGTAGAAATCCAATCGGGACAATGTGTCAGTTGTACCTGACTTGATGTTACCATTGTTCACAGCATAATTTTTAAGTTAGATTATCTTGAACCACACCATGATGCCAGAAAAAAGTGAACTGGAATCTGCTGCAGTCCTTGCTATTTTATGTTCTATTTGTCCCTCCTGAATTCAAAGTATATGCATATATATGTCAGTATACTGTTGGCCCTGGGCACCAGTGTTCCCTCTAAGCCCTACTCATTCATGAATACCAGCACCATTTTCGCAGCATTGTTAAACACTGGAGCCTCACATTTCATAAGATATGTACATGTACCAGCTACATGCAGTTTGAAAAATCAAAAATTCAAAGAGAGAAGCGCATTGTAGTACTATAGGCCTTAAAATTTTTTGTAGGCTTCTTGGCCAATGTACATGTATTACTTTATGCTGTGGCTATATACTTCTGCCTATTAGATAACCTGTCCCTGCATGTTAGTCATCATTATGCAAACCTTTTTTTATTAAATACTGGCACGTTCAACCAATTTTGCAGAAATCCACACACATTCACTCTGGAACAGTTTAGTAATAGCATTAGTTAATAGACCAAAGTGTATAAAGGAAACTGACTGTAGAACACAGTGTTAAAAGATTGTTGGAAAGCTCTGAATTGATTAGCGTTTGGCCATGGAGGTTTGATGAGCTATCCAGCCACCATTATTTGACTGTGCTTAGTTACGAGAGCTGAATGTCTCCACAGTGTAAGCCAATGGACCGGTGTGCTGATTCATTTAATTCCACTTTAATTAACTTTAACACATTTACTGTATGTAGATGTATCTAGCATACTGTACGAACTACATTTTAACTGCAAGCTTTTAACCTCAATCATAAAGATGCACTCTTAACAAAGTCTTTTAAAAACTCTTTTAGATGACATTTTACTTTACATTATAGAAACAGTTTTCTTCTGAATTTTTTGTAAGCTTCATATTGTCTTTTTTTTAATTGAATTTTTAAATGAATGCAAAAGCAGATATTTTTGTCCAGATTCATGGACCATGTTTATCGCTGACTGGTTGTCCAGATTCATGGACCATGTTTATCGCTGACTGGTTGTCCAGATTCATGGACCATGTTTATCGCTGACTGGTTGTCCAGATTCATGGACCACGTTTATCGCTGACTGGTTTTAAACATTACTTGGCCACATTTATCCTCTGTCAAATCAGTCTGCTAAACTTGTCATAGGTACAGACATTTGTGGATGTTTACTTCAATTTAAATTTAGAGCACATGGTTTGAGTATCATAAATATTTAGCTAATTCAGGCGATTCACAATAGTGCACCTTCAAGAGTTTGTAGCACATTGGCCAATCATAACGTGTGAAATCCGTTGACCCTTTCCAAATGCGCATTGGGTCAACAAACTTTGCGCACTATGATTGGCAACCGCGTTGCAAACTCTTGGAGGTGCATTATTGTGAAACAAATGGAAGAGCTGGGAACTTAAGGTTGGATAGCTCAGTTGGGAGAGCTCCGTTGCAGTGTTCCGGAGGTTATAGGTTCAAATCCTGCTCCAGACGATTTCTTTATTCATCTTCATATGTAATTAATATGTAAGTACATGTACCTTGTCAGTTTCCCCATATACCATAGGCTGATGATTTAAGTTTAATAAATGTGAGAAGTGAGAAATTGGGCAACGAAATAAGCAAATGACAAAAGAGTAGATGGACATGTTGAAAACAAATCAAAAACCTTTGGCAAAATGTCCTTTAAAAAGCTTAAAGTTATTGAATAGAAACAAACTGATATTCATCATGATGTATGCACAAGAATATAAGACATATAGAGAGACACAAAGGCAGAGAAGATTGGACTAACAAACAGGTAGCTGAAAATATGCTTTATTTCGTATTCTGCACCTGTTTATTCCAGTCGAGAAGGTAAGTTAAGATTGCCTCAGCTTGAAGGCAATAATGTACATACATTAGAATGATCACATCCTGTTGTTGTGAACCAGTGGTGTTTTGTTGCAAATATGCTATTCATGTTATGAAAAAGTGGTCTATTCAGCGACACGTGAGTGCAGGATTGTGACATGCTGTGTGCCTGTAGTATGTAATCTAAGGACTATACAATAACAGAAAACAGTATCTGTCTCTTGCATCTTCAGAAAAAAACTATAGTGAAAGGCTGGAGAGAAAATTTAGGACCTGTACAAATTTTCTTTGCAAGCAGGGAGAGGAAGTCCTTAATGTTAACCCTTCCAGATTCTCAGCAATCCATTTGGAGGTTTGGCAACTTTTTCAAGACTGAAGAAGGTTTATACCACCCAGACAAAATTACATTTACGGCTGACTGGAAAGTTGAAGTTCAAGTTGGAGATTCAGGGCATACCAAAACCTCCTGGAAGTTTGTAGTCACTGTGGTGGATTTGTCCAATATAGGATGTAGGTCCTATTCAATCAAGTCATCTTTAAGGGTTTGTTTTGTTTTTGTTTTTGGGTTAAGTTAATTTCTAGCATTGTATGCATGGCATGTCTTAACCACACATTCATGTGAAACAAAGAAACATACCTCTGGAATGGTTGTCTTGCAGAAATTCTTTTCATACATATGCATCCGCGCATCACAAGAGAGGATATTTCTGTTGTGTTAAGATTTATGCTTACTGAAGGAAGTGAATCTTTCCAAAAGATTGACTTACCTGTTTAAGTATGTGTGGTTTGTTGCTTGGAATTGTGCTGTCTGTGACACAGTGCATTTTATTTTTGGAGGATACATGACATGTTCTGCTTCTGGGTTGCGGCAGTGTGTGACAAGGTTGTGTCTTTATGTATCAGTCTTCCCCAGAATTACTATTTCAGTCTGACACACATTGGATCAAGTGCTTGACTGGAAGAAGGTTTAGACTTTCTGAGAGAGTACAGATCTCACCCTCGACTTGTTTTACTCAAGTTCAAACAGTGAACCTAGTCAGTGTGTTTTTCTGGCCAGGTTTTCCCTTATAGTTTGTGATGATTTCCAATGGGTTTGTAGGGGTCCGCTTCCCCAAATGACAAATGAAAGTGAGATATACTGCACAAAATGTGCTAGCATCAAAAATGCATTTTGTGGAAGGGGACTTCAACTTTTGATTGATTGAACTACCGCCCAGTACATTTATAATTAATTACGTCTTACATCATGAAATGTTCTGTCTCATACACTACTTATATTATGGGGATGATAATGGTTCAGCTTGGTCCATTATCATCATTAGGCCCCTATTTAGTTTCAGTTTAATACCAACCCATCACACTTTTACGCCTAGATATGTTGCATGGGCATCATGTTTGCTGGATTCTTCCCCTGAGCTGAAGGCCAAAGAGCACACAATTCAAACTGCTGAGTGAGACGTCTGGTTCTTTTCAGAACCACATACACTCACCCAAAAAAAGAATTAGTCACATGTTACTGCAAACCTTGTATTTAGTACTTCCACCATGCATAGTCTCAAGTTTTACTTGCTGGACATCAAAATAATATATCAGAATTTGCAAATCTTTATAAAATATACCTTTCTAAACAAAATATCAGATCATAGATTGCAAGACAAGTATATCATGCCTGGTAGTGGCTAACAGGCAAAAGCTCATTTGCTCTTATTTTTCCTTTCAGTTCTCCATAACAAATGGGACACCCGCATTTCAATATATTCACTATATTTCAATTGTATACATGTTCATTCCGCTTGCAGTTTTAATATAGATTGAGTTACTTCTTTCTTAGTGAAAGTCGGTGTCATGTTATTCTCAGATAAAGGATTTTTAAAAGGGGCAAGATTTTTAACACATGCAGCAACCGAAGGCCTTCAACAATTCACCTGCAAATTACAGTATTCATGCAATGCAGTGTGAAGAATGGAAATATGGGGATATGTCATTTACTGTATTTATTTTATTGAATGTTGTTCATGAAGAGGGGCATTTAATTTCCCAACAACTGTTCAACAGCTTTCCAACACTTGATATAAACATATACATGTACATTTAAATTCCATTTTTATAATTTTTTTGTAAATTTCTTATATTCTCTTCGTCAAGCTGAGAAAGCAGCTCTGGACAAAAACCCTGAATCTCGGTCTGGCGCTGAACGCTACAGTGATCCACTGACCGTGATTGACCTGATGGTGGATGTCATGTTCATTATTGATATTCTCATCAATTTTCGCACAACCTACGTGAATAAGAATGATGAGGTGGTGTCCAACCCAGGAAAGATTGCTGTGCACTACTTCAAAGGATGGTTTCTGATCGATGCAGTAGCCGCTATTCCATTTGATCTTCTCCTCTTTGGTGGTAATGACAAGGTGTGTTGCTTAACCACTGATAAGATTGTGGCCTTTACCTGCAAAATTTGTATCTGTAGAATATATCTACAAGTATTTTGTTCACTGGTTTGGCATTTAATGACGCATGACACCACTGTCTAGTGTTATGGTCAGTAAGTAAGCATTTACTGTTGTTGCTTCAGATAGGCTGTAATAACAGTTGCGGATTCAGCATTCGTGAAAAGGGGGCATCCAATGTGGGATGTCTTACTTATATGGGTTTGCCCCTTGGATTCTCACTGCCATTGAAAAATTCAGTACCTACAAGTCATCCTAACAGCCGATGACAACTCTTTTCACAGCCATTCAGTTCAATGTAAATGCATCCCGACTTCGGCACTTAATCAATGAAATCAGCAAGTCAGGAACTGATGGAATAGCATTAATTGTCAGAATCTGCCAGACAATCATTGCATACAAACTGTGGAGGCCCCTCCCGACCGAAACGTAAACTATAATGTTGTCATGCTTTTTTATATGTGTACTATCCTGTTGGGATTCAATGGATCATGCCCCCCCCCGAGAGTAACATAACCATTGACTGCCTATGAATATTGATAAGTCCATTCATTTTTTACTGATCAATTAAGATTTTTTTTCCTTCCTTATGTGCAGCAATCCACTACCCTCATTGGTCTTCTGAAAACAGCCCGCCTTCTACGACTTGTCAGAGTTGCGCGAAAACTGGATCGCTACTCGGAGTATGGGGCTGCAGTGCTCCTTCTGCTCATGTGCATATTTGCCCTCATTGCTCATTGGCTGGCCTGTATCTGGTTTGCTATTGGGCAAGTTGAAAAGGGAATGGACAAGAACAACAACAACATTGGCTGGCTAGATGACCTAGCCCGAAAGACTAAAACGTCTTTTAACGAGACTACAATAGAGTCCAAGTACATTACAGCATTGTATTTCACATTCAGCAGTCTGACCAGCGTGGGATTTGGCAATGTCTCACCCAACACCAACTCAGAAAAAATATTTTCCATTTGTGTCATGTTGATCGGATGTAAGTATTTCCTATGTTTGTGCATGTCTTTTTTATATCCCATGATTTTGTACTGAATCAGTTTCCAAATTGTAATTTTCTCATGTAGGCCTAACTACCCGGCATTAGAACCAGGGATCTGTGTAGCCAACCAATTCTGCCAGGAATTGCATCTAGTTAATTTAACTGAGTATCGGGACCCATAACCAACTTCAGACTTTGCTTTATAATTTCTCTGACAATGAATTTAAAAAAGGGTTTTAAATCCACTTGAGGAGAATCTGCAAAATGAAAGCCAGACCAAAATTAACATGATAAAGCCACCCTGATGTGTTAGCTTACGGTACACATTTATATCATGCTGTGTGTGTTGATGCACCAATGTAGTGATATTATCAGGCAGACTTGAATGAATTCTCAGTATGCAGGGATAGAAATAGACAACTGGCCATCCAGGCTAGTTTTAGCCCCTGGGTACGTGTTTGACTGCAGCTGCAGACCATGGCCCACTGGCCAAGGGCTATTTACAAAATTTTGGACAAAGATCATAGAAAAAAATTATTGTATTCTGATAAACTTCAAAGCAATGAGTGTACGTATTTAGCCATGAAAATATCTTTTCCAGAGTTTTAAATTGAAAGTTTAACAAAACTATTAAAGGTTAATAATACTGACCGAAAACGAAGGAAATTTATGCTGTCTTGAGGGCTACTTAAGAAGTGAAAACAGCACACATGAGCAGGAACTACCGATATGTCTGCCGGCAAACACGGCAAACAGGTGCTAATAGTCCCCATGTGCTGGGTTATTTTGAACCCTGTGCACACAGATATCCAACTCTTAATATTGGTTTGCTTTAAAGGGTACATATTCTTCGAATCGGTACTAGGTTCCCCATGTACCTGTAAGTGCACACTCCTACTCCCAATGTCTACTTTGGGCTGTCCTCCCTAATAGCTTTCATTTCCACTTGGTCACACTTTCACACTCACAACCTTTATTAACCCTTACTTTCTGAGTATTTTCCCTGGGAACCTTTTTGAACCTGCCAGAAATCCGGTATTTTCAAGATGTATTGTTTTGTCAAACATTTGGCATTTGAAGTAGCATGCAGACAGGTTGGACACTCTTTCCTAAAGATTGAAAATTAAAAGTACATGCTGAAACCCACATTTCTCTTTTTGACAAGACATCGGTTCATTGGGAAATACTTCTCCGGAGTATTAGTGTAGTACAGCAGCAATGAAGGTATCGTCCTTGTCCATAGGCCATTCAAGTTCTTGTCATCATAATTGGTGATGACAAGACAAGTTTATCCAAGTAGTTGCATTCATGAAGCTTGGTCTTGCATTCACCCCATCCTAGCTCTGATGTATGCAAGCATCTTTGGCAATGTCTCGGCCATTATCCAGAGGCTGTATTCCGGCACGGCTCGCTACCACACCCAGATGCTGCGCGTCAAGGAGTTCATCCGCTTCCATCAGATCCCTAACCCACTCAGACAGCGCTTGGAGGAATATTTCCAGCATGCATGGTCTTACACCAATGGCATTGACATGAACATGGTGAGACTCAATACATTCTCTGTAATCATGTTCATGTGACATTTGTTACCTTTGTGATTTGGGACCTACATGTTGTGTTTTCTACACTCAATGGACATCTAGTTATCACACGCGTGTGATAACTAAAGCACTATCGATGGTGCCTTTTGGAAAGGATATAAAACAGTATCTCACATCACAAGAGCAGTGTTGTAGCCCAGTCTGCCACACGTCCATCACAAGTCATCCAATTGATTTAAGCCAGGTCATAAACTATTCAAATGAACTGTGACAAAAGCATTCCTTAGTGGACACCCTCTGTCATTGGTTACCCTGTTTCCTGTCTTGTTATTGGGCTTGTGGTTGAACTTGTTATGGACTACAACATGACACAAAAGTTAACACTTTGTGTTTCAGGCCAGTAAGACTGAAATGTGAAAGTGTTGAATTACTGTAAAAGACGAAAAAATAAATAACTGCATTGTCACAACAAGCTTTCCTGCCACGAAATTACATATTTGTTCCAGATTGGGACACACCCTAAACGTGTTACAGATGCATCCCACACCATACCTTTGAGACACAAGTAATGCCTTTGGCCAGCCCGCTATCATCCCCAAGCTCTTACCCATTTCTAAAATACCCGCAGTTTAAAACTGTTCTGCCACACTTTTGCTCCCACATTTAGAAGCAATGAGACTATCAAACAAAAACAAACAA